GGGATAAAGCAAAATAACAAAACACTGTTAAGGCCCTTGGCTTTTGTGTTCCGTGTGGTTACTGAGTTTGCAATACAACAAACATTGATTCTAAAAGATCTTTTTATCCCTCTATTTTGTGATTTGTGCAGGCAGGCATGTTAGAAAGAATAAGTAACCAGAACAAAGAGCTGACCAACAAACAGATAGCAATTTGTAATCAGTGAAGAGACTAGTTTCCTCAGGTTCCAAGATTATTTTATTTTCTTCCTTTTTAAATCTCTTACTGCAGGGCAGAGCAAACAAAATTGCATAGCACCCAATTACAGTCGAGTGAAACCACCATGAAATAAGACTGAATTTTGCTGAGAACAAAAGAGGGTCAGCATGATAAATAAACAAACAGAAAATGAGAGAGAGAGAGAGAGAGAGAGAGAGAGAGAGAGAGAGAGAGAGAGAGAAAGAGAGAGAGAGAGAGAGAGACCAGGAGTAACTTGATAATAATTTATATGCAAAAAGTTTAACAATTTTTCAGTGTACTATTACAGTGTAAATACACTTTCATACCCATGTACCCTTAATGGTGAAAAATTGTGGCAGACTCTATAGAGTTTATTGCTGAAAGATAGTGTGACCTACCACAGCTTATTTACTAGAATAATTCATATTAGAAAGAAACACAGGAACAGGAGGCGGCGGGCACGCCAGCAGTTACAAGTCCACAAGTCTACTCTTAATCTAAAGTAAACTATTCTCCTCTGTGTTTTCTGTTCCCCTTGGATAAAATGGACTGATGAAAAGGCATATTAACTCCATTCGTTACAAGCTTTGATATTGTTTTTTAAAGTGATTCATACCTAAATAGTGTGGCATAGTTTACCAAAAGCTCTGTTTATATTGTGTCACTTGATGCTGAGAATACCCTGTAAAGTAAGAGTTCACATCTTCTTTATATTAGAAGCTGAAACTTGGATTAATGAATTTTCCTCAAACCAAACTTCTAGAACATTGCAAATTTGGATCCTATCACATCAAACATAAGAGTCTTTCACTTATAGCATAGAGAATCCCTAATGATTACTTCCCACAATTATTTTATGGCCTACACATAGTCAAGCAGGAAAGGTTTTAATGGAATGGAAATTACCTGTTCTGATTAAAAGGACTCGTCAAAAAATAAAATTTTATATACACCCAAATCACAAATTCAAAAGATGTTATTTTACAGCATGAAAATTGTAAATTGAGTTATGTATTTGAAGTTGCTGAGAGTAAATTTCATGTATTGTTAGCATAATAATAGTATGAAATATCATATATGCTAAATAATTCCATTTAGTCATATCTACAGTTTGTCCATATTTGAAAATAGCATATTTTATGTAATAAATATTTATTAGTAAAAATAAATTAATGGCTAAAAAGTAAAATAAAAAAGACTATAAGCCACAGTATTTTTAGATTGCTTTCACAAATACTTATAGCTAGTGATCACCAGAAACATCTATAATTCAGTAAGCTGGATTTACTCATCATAGGAAAAAAAAAACATGGGAACTGTGGAACATCTGAATAAGAAGACAATAGAAAGGATTTGTCATAGTATTTTGGTTTATGTTAAGTAACTTAGAGGGAGTTTTTTGAAGGCAGAATTTTGGTCGGTATGAAATGCTGTCAGTAACTGGAGGTAATAAGAAGACTGGATAACAAATGCATCTTACCCATTTTGAGGGCACCAAAGTCATTGGCAAAGAAGGATCAGTCGCATATAAGCCAGGATGTGTGTGTATGTGCTTGGGGGGGTGTTTCGGCCATTTTGTGACTTGTGTAGTGTCACATGTTGTACTTGTACTAAGACATAATTACAGAGACTTTTCTACTTTTTGTTTTGATCCAACATGGTCACAAAGTAGCCCAGTTTAATGTTAATATTTTATTACACAAGTTATCAATGTGAGAATGAGTAAGTCTAACTGCGAGTATTAAAGTGGTATTATAATATCTTGTAGCAACATCTAGATATATCTTTTGAAAAATCAGAGTGTGAAGGTTTTTCTTTTCTAAAATAAGTTGACTGTAAGATGAATTCCTAAATGATCTTATTAATAAAAAACCTGGAGCCAGATATTGGGGGTAAAAACCAAGAGATCAGAGGAATAGGACAAGCCACAGCCAACCTCACCTTACCGACTCCTCAGTTTCCAAAGACACCTACTTCCTGTACACCCATGCCTATATGCCTTTCTGTCCCTGCCGTCTCATTTCCTCTCTGCTGAGCTAAATCACTTCCTCTTTCTGCCCAGCTCTGTCACTTCCTGTCTGTCTGTACAGACCTCCAGACCTTTATGGTTAACTAGTGTTGGAATTAAAGGCATGTGCCACCATGCCTGGCTCTATTTGCAGTGTGGCCTTGAACTCACAGAGTTCCAGATGGATCTCTGCCTCCTTAATGCTAGAATTAAAGGCATGTGCTATCACTGCCTGACTTCTATGTTTACTATAGTGGATGGCTTTTTCCTTTGATCCTCAGATAAACTTTACTGGAGTACACAGACAAAATATCATCACAACTGAGCTTTTTGGTATAGCTAGTGGTTGAATTAAAAAAAAGGATAAAGGCTATTGGATATTCTTTTTTCAGTGGGCATGCTGTATGCTGAGCATGGTGGCCTACACCTTTCAAAGCAGCACTTCAGAGGCAAAAGCAAGTGACTCTCTGAGACTTCCAGGCCATTCTTGCCTATCTAGAATGTTCTTGGCCACTGAGGGCTGCATAATGAAACTCTGTCTCAATTCAAAACAAACAATGACAAAGTCTTCCTCATGCATTACTTCTATACACAAATGGCTCATTATACAAAGTTAACATATATATGATATTGTAAAAACTGTTACTCTAGTCAAATGAATACATAAAACTCCTCCATAAATCAAAAAGACAAAGCAAGCAATTCAATATAACAAGACAGTGGAAAGGAAAAGGAAATTCACAAATTAATAATTACAAATGGAAAAAAATGTTATCTAATTACAGTATTCAGAAATAAACATAAATTGAAACAACAAAGGGAACAATTTTCTTCAGTCAGACGGACTCAAAACACAGTAAAGGGATGGGAAATGTTTCCACAATGACAGGCATCAACAGTGAATAGCAATCTTGCTACTTCAGCGATTCCTACCAGATATTAAGCTGTATTTTACAATTTTAGAATGCCATTGTGTACTTCACATAGAATCAAGCAAGAGCCTCAGAGGATATTTTGATAATAGACAAATTTAGCCCTAGATATTGATCTGATTCTAATAAAGTTTAAAAACAAGCCTCAAAAGAAACAACTCTTTTCAAGTAAATTAAAAGCATCTCAATCAATTGGCAAGTTTAAAGAATACAACTGATAGTACCCTGAAAAAGAAATTGTGCCCTCAGTTTATACCCGTGATGTGTTTATCTAATTATTCTTCATCAATGCAAAATCAGGAGTCAGATATCAGGGTAAAAACCTGAATGATGAAAAGAGGAGATGCTGCCAGTCACTTCCTCTCTCTTCTGTTCCTCAATCCAAAAGGGTCAGTATCCTCTCTAAGCCCCCCTTATTCCTTCCTCAGTCCTCAAAAACCTCTATGGTTAATTTTGGCCAGCTAATGGTTAACTCTACTCTCTGATTCAAAGAAAACTTTATTGTCAGAATGCAATCAAAGTATCACACAACATGCCTGAAAGTCCCAATCTGATCTCCTTAATGCCTTGCTCTGTGCATTTTAAATTTATCTAGAGTTCTAAGTCAAGTAATTGAATTTCTTATAAATAACTATCTATATAGATCCACAGGCAAAATGACAGTTAGAAGGTACATGTAAATGATGGTGATGAGAACTAAATACAAGATAAATGGTAAGTAGGTCAACAGATAAGTGGATGACAGTAGATGACAGATGATAGATAGATAGATAGATAGATAGATAGATAGATAGATAGATAGATAGATAGATAGATAGATATACAGGCAGACAGCACTGCTACTTTTTCTGGCAGAAAGGTGAATAATGCATTCACAAAATAGAGTTAATAAGTAAATATAAATTTTAAAAATAAGTACATATATAGCCTTTCATTGAAATGTACAATAATTGATATTTTTAAATTCTTAGGTATAATAGCAGGTTAGAACCACTTCAGCTGATTTCATTAAAAATTGGAACAAGTGGCCATGTTGGTGTCCAAGGGCTGTGCCACCACTGGGGCCATGCAGATCTGAGTGGCCTGTGCTGCTACCCAGTACTATGGTACTGTCCAGGCCTAAGCTGCTGAGAAACTGTGGCCCTCCCATAGCCAGGGTCTGTGTTGATGTCTGTGGTTCCTGTTACTTCTGAAGGCCTTGCAGATGCCCAGAGAATGGACTGCCACCTGAGGCCATGTTGGTATCATAGGGCCATGCTGTCATGGGATCCATACTGATCTGAGTGGCCTGTGCTGCCACCCAGGACAACAGTGTTATCTGGGAAGGAACTGCTACTTAGGGTCATGTTTGGGTTGATAGTCCAGCTGTAGCTGGAGTCTGTATTGATGTCCATAGCCTGTGTTACCACCAGGGGGCATGCAAACCATTTGTGTTGAAATCTGAGGGCCTTGCTGCGCTGGCCCCACCCTTGGCTGACCCTGAAAGATCTGGCCCTGCAGCTTGCTGGCTGTTGCAATGGGAGAACTGGCCCAGCCCAACACGGTAGAGCTGTCCAGATGACCCTAGCCCTTAGAGAGCTGGCCCCATGCGGCACGCTCCTCGACCAGCAAGGAAGAACGACCACCACGCGAGGATTCTTCTCAGATCACACTTTATTGGAGCGCCTCTTGATTAAGGGAGAGCGGGAG